GGTGACAGGTGAGCTCTTTGTCACCTCTTAGTCTGTCGCTTCTCTTAACAGTCTTCCCTTCCCCAGTTTCCTTTCCTCGGTCGCTTCTGGCCCTTGGTGACCCCTGCGCCGTCCCTCCACATCCTGAATCCTGCCTCTCGGGTTCCCTGCATCTCTGCGGGTCCGTGTGGTCCTCGGGATCGGGTCTTGTTCTCAAGGACTCTCCATTTTCCACAGCCTCCTGCTCCTGGTCTGGCGCAGGTTCTCCTCGGGTCTCTTGTCTCTGGGGCCACTGTTAGGACCGAGTGATCCGTCCAGGCCAGCAGGTGGCCTCGCCAGCTGCCCTCTCCCCTCCTTCAGCTTTGTGAATTCTCTTTTGTGCCTTGAGACTGTGTGCGGAGTGCGACTGTTTTATAGTAAGAAATAAAGGTCTGGCCAGGTGCGGTGGTGCCCGTCCGTAATCCCAGTGACTCGGGAGGCTGAGGCAGGAGGATCAGGAGTTCAAAGCCAGCCTCAGCAGCTCAGTGAGACCCTATCTCTAACAAAAACATAAAAAGGACTGAGGGTGTGGCTCAGTGGTTAAGCACCCCTGGGTTCAATCCCTGGTACCAAAAAAGAAAAAAAGGAAAGGGAAGAGGTAAGGTCTTTAGGTCTTTATGGTCGTTGGTGAGAGCAGCAGAGGGCTTCCCCGACCTGCGAGGGACTTGCTGTCTTCCCTAGGGACTCGGCCTGCAGGGAACCCTGTTGCCCATGAGGTGAGCCTTGGGCTCCTGGGGTGGGCTGAAGCCAGGACAGGAGCCAGGGCCAGCACCAAGCTGCGCTTCTCCAGGGCCAAGTCCAGCAGCAGGGAGACCTTCACGGCCTTGCTGGCCTTTCTTTCAGTTCCCCCGAGGGCCTCGTCTGAGGGTTACACCAAGGGCAACCTGGTGCGGCTGGGAGTGGCGGCCGGCGTCCTGCTGATGGGGGTGGTCCTCGTGCTGGAAGCCTGGCATGCTAGCGGGGTGCCACAGGCTCGGCCAGGTAAGGCAGCTGAGCACCGCCCATGGCGGGCAGCTGCAGCGACGCCCCCACGGTTGGAGGGGTGTCTCTGGTGAACAGAAACAGAATACACTATTGCCACGTCCGCTTGTTTTTATTTGCCAATTTTATTTGCCTCAGTCAGCCTGGGAGGAAGAATCAGGTCATTTATTGTGCACTAAATACGTCCTCCCACTCCTGGTGAGATAGATGATTGCCACCAAGCAGCTGTTCGTAAAGATCCACTGTTCCAGCAAATTTCAGCGACCTGGTGCCGCGCCACTGACTGCAGCCACCCGGTGCTCCACCCGCCCGGGTTCTCTGAGCACCAAACTTACCCGGGGCCCTCTCTGGTTCCTCCGCATGGGTACAGATGGCAGATTAGGTAGACTGTTCTTTTCACCATGTGGGACTGTCTTATTCATTTTAGGGACAGACTCTAAATTGTTATGGGGTGCCAGTGAAGCCCTGGTCATAGTAGAATTTAACAAGGAGCCGTTAGCCTCCATGACAGCTCGCGAGCACCTGAGGGGAGGAGGGGAGGCGGAGGGGGGCCGCCGTAACCTGTGTTAGAGGTGGGGATACGTTAGTGATCCTCTTCTGAATTCAGGTCTGTTCTTGGCACCCACAGGCTCCCCCCAGATCCCCAGTGCACCTGTGAATCCTGGACAAGTTGGGTCAGCTGGTCTGAGACAGTGTCCTGTGCCACCGGGTCTCCCAGCTCCTTGAATAATGGCTCCCTCTTCCTGACTCCTTACCTGGGACAGGGACAGGCTTGGCACCCTCACCAATAAAGCATTTTTATGATTATCATAATAAAACGTAGGAGCTCTTTTCTCTACTGACACAGCCATGTCACCTGGATTCTAAGCCAAAGCCCATGTATGTATGAACCTTTTCTGTGATCCCAATTCTATCAGTTTGGTCATTGTGGCTTTATTTTTCCTTTTCCTAAGAGTGTATGTTGAGAATATAAAATATACATGATTTATATATATATATATATATATATATATTTGGCTGAATTATGTATTATAATAGATGAGATGTATATATATATATATATACATCTCATCTATTATAATACATACTTATATTCCTGATAAGTTGCTGATTGGACATTTTATCCACTTTTATTTTTAGTTGAGTTCTTTTTTGGTGGGGGGCAGTACTGGGGATGGAGCCCGGGTCCTGGGGCATGCTTAGCTGAATTCTTTATCTTATTAATTTTGCAACGTAAAGATACACACAATCTGGACACAAGCCCCTCAGCCCATATACGCTGAGCAATTATTGGTTTCAGTCCATGCCCTATCTTCAGATTTTAACTTCTTTTTTCCTTTCTATACTAAGTGTTGAACCAGGGCCTCGCACTGAGCCAGCTCCCAGCCCCTTAACATCTTTTGAAAAGCAAGAGTTTTGAATTTTGGTGAAAATGAGAAACCAAGAATATTTTTCCTTTATGGGAAAACCTTCTGTATCCTAGCTAAGAAATGTTTGCCCACCCCTTGGTGAAGGACTCAATTTTCTGGTTTCCCTTCCCAGTTTTCTGGTTTCCCTTCCTATTTCTGTTGCCTCTCTCCAGTGCCCTTTGCCCTGGTGTCAGGGCTCGTCCTGGCTGTCCCCTGTGCCTGGCCTTCTTCACCCAGATGTTCCTGGTGTGCTCAGGCAGCAGGAGGGCTGTCTAGCCCACCATCCCAGGGAGAGGCTCACCACTCACTCCTGCTTAGGAGGCTTTGGGCTGCTGTCTGGTCAAGAGTGGCCACAGTTGATAGAGCTCTGGTTTTACAGCCAGTCTGGGCGAAGAACACCAAGGAAAATCAATCTCTCTCTCTCTCTCTCTCTCTCTCTCTCTCTCTCTCTCTCTCTCTCAGTACTAGAGATCAAACCCAGGGGTGCTTTACCACTGAGTAACATCTCCAGCCCTTTTTATTTTGAGAAAGGGTCTCGTTAAGTTGCCCAGGCCGGCCTCAGACTTGCAATGCTCCTGCTCCTGCCTCAGCCTCCTGGTGCCTGGGATTGCAGGTGTGCACCACCACATCTTCTTCCTGACCCCCCAGTGCTGGGGATCCGACCCAGGGCCCCTCATCCCATGATAGGCAAGTGCTGTACCACCGAGCTGCATCCCCAGCCTCCCCTGAGTTTTATTGACAGATAATTGACAAACAAAATCCTTACAAGGCTGTTGAAACATACCATCCATTACCATTAACTATGTCACCTCACTGTGCAGTCGCTGGGAACTCCTCCTGACGGATGGTGACTCGGTACCTGTGGAATACTCTCTCGCCTTTCCCCACTCCACCTTTCAAGAGAAAAATTGGATGCTATCTATCAAAACTCCATATCCACACTCTCTCTTAGAATCTGGCTTGAAGATACCCTTAACCCTGTAAACACACACGAGTGAACATTGCCAATAATTGTAACCTATGGGAAGGTTTGATTTAGAGCCCGGCTCACTGCTGGCCCTAATCGCATCTTTGCCAGCAACGCTACCCAGTTTCTAATGGAGCATGAAAAATGGCCTCAGAGCTGGATTCCCTCACCTCCAGGGCAGCTGGTTCAGGCGAGGGGCTTCAGGACTCAGGATGCTCTCTCCCGTCCACAGGGGCTCACCTGGTTTGGGTTCCCTGCCACACTTCCATCTCCATCTAGAACCTGTATTGGAGGCGCGGAGAATCAGTGATCCTCTTCTGAACTTAGGTCTGTCCTTGGCACCCACAGCCTCCCCCCAGATCCACAATTTATTTTTAGAAATAAGATGCACTGAACAGGACACAGGCAGAAGAGGACTCTGCCCGAGTTCTGACCCTGCCCGTTCCTGAGCCCCACGGGCTGAGATGCCTGCAAGTTCCACACGATGCTGCTCAGATCTGCTGCTGGGAGACTTGTCCCCTCCCGTTCTGGAGTATTTTGATGCTGATTCTTGTGACCATTTCAGGAAAGAGATTTCAGATATTCTTACTCCAGGGAAATGATACATTTTTAAGGTGATAGATGAGCTCCTCACTCTCATTTGGTCATTCTACACTGTGCTCATGTACTGAAACATCACATTGTACATCCTAAGTATATCCAGTTATTATCTGTCAATTAAAAATGAAGCTAAACTAATAAAATTTTAAAGCACTTTATTAAGGTGGGACTGACATGTAAAAAACTTTATATTTAATGTCTACCACCCAGTGAGTCTGGGGTAAGTGCACACCTGTGAAGTCATCTCCACCAAGGACAGACACACATCCATCACTTGTAAGCCCCGCCGCCCTTATTGTTATCCTTATTCTGTGATGAGCAGAGAGACTGGCGACGTCTGAGAGACATCGGTGACCTTGTGGGTTGTCTGTGCAGATGCCGGCTCTCTGGTGTTGAAAATGTCCTGTGGTTATGTCACCACTGGGTGGGTGGGTGGCTGAAGGGGACGTGGGTGCTCTGCTGCAGTCGGCACTCAGAGCCGCGGGTCCACGCTGGCAGATCCCACCAGGGATGGAGGATATTCTGGAGAAGTTGCCCCGAGGAAGCGTCCTTGTGTGTATTCTCTAAGCAGCACCGGGTAACAATGGTTCCTGGAGCGGTTACCCTGTATCGGGTATCACAGGTCATCCAGATACTTGGAAGCATGCTGTGGTTGTGTGCTGTGCCTCGGTTACATGCCAACACTGCCCCATTTTCCATAAGGGACTTGAGCATCCTCGGATTTTGGTTTGGGGTCACTCTGGAAACAAACTCCGTCAGATAACAAGGAATGATGACTCTTTTGTGTGTGAAACTGTAACCATCTCCAATAGCTAAAAGCAACAACAACAAAATTAAAACATCTTAATGAAGATGTAGACATATATAATACATAAATATAATAAAGAAATATTTGTTCAAAATTAGTTTACAATGTTGCTGGGCAGGACCCCCCAGGAGGCGGGGCAGGTGGAGCCACACCCCAGCATCTGTGGAACGTGTGGTTACCGCTGGCTTCTGGCTTCCTGAGTCGGTTGCAAGAAGGAAACACTGCACCCGGTGATGACAGATCCAAAGCATCAGAGCAAAGCCTCATCCTCTGGTCTGGGCTCCTGGCGGGCAGGCGGGGAGAGCGCTGCCTGCTCCGCCTGAAGCCAGGGTCAGTCGGGCCCCGGCAGAAGGCGCTATGAGCGCAGAATCCCTGTGGCTGCTCTGCCTCGGTAGGTCTCCAGTGGGTGCTAGGGCTGGATGGGGGTGGGTTCACGCCCGGGAAGGTGGAGGGCAGGAATGGATGGCCCTGCGTGGGTGCGTCAGAGCTGGCCGCCTCGGGCTGTGCGCATCCTGAGAGACGGGAGCCCAGGCGCAGGGCTCGGGGACTCCCAGCCTACTCCAGGAGAAAGGCAGTGCTCCGCGGGCATCTCCAAGGCTGCCCTCTGACTGTGACTCTTGCGGAGGGCGTCCCTATGGGCTACAGTGGACAGGGGCTGTCCTCAGTTTGAGCCTACCCTTATCAAACGGCCGATACTGTGAAAAGCAAGGTGTGGACAGAGGGAACAGGGTAGCCCAGAGGTGCCCTCCTCCGCCCTGTGCTCCTTAGGTGGCTGCTGAACCCCAGCACAGCCAACCTGGCATAATGGGAACTATTCTCTCTCAAGTGCTGGCAATGCCCATTCCTTACCAGGGTGCCGGGGGGCTCTGCTGCCTGCCCCTCTGCCTGGCTCTGGCACCAGCCATCATGAGTATTCTTTGCCATGTGGATATATTGCTGCAATCTCTGCCTCTGTCCTTACTCAGCTTGTGTGTGGATGCCCCCCCCCCCCTTCTTCGTCTCTGTGTCTCTTATCCTCCACTTACAGGGACAGCGGTCACATCAGAGGATGGCCCTACTTAGCCTAACTCTTCACGTTTGTAAAGCGGGATACTGTCCACAGTTGTGGGAGCTGGAACTCAACTGTGTCTCCTGGGGACACAAGAGAACCTTTAACACCCTCCTCCTCTGGCTGTAATACTCTTCCAGAAGCAGGTCTGTGACACAGGACGGGCCAGTCTGACACTGCTGGACGTTTTTAGACCAGCAGTGAGATGGGGACTTCTTTCCTCCCCGAGTGTGACCTACAAAGATGCAAGACTGTAGCTCCTACAGCCCTGTTCCTGGGCCCCTTCTGCTCCAGCCGGCGTCCCAAGGGAGCCAGACAGGAAAGCCAGGAGAACAGAGCCTGGAGTGTTGGCACCGATAGGCAAGGCGTGCACGTGAGCCAGAGCCACCTATCAGTCTTCCGCTTCGTTTTATTTGGGGTGAACTTTTAATATTTAAATTTATGTAGGTCTTGACCAGACAGGGTAAGAACACCAATGCACATAAAATCTTAAAGTTATTACTTCCAAGTGTATGAGGTGGTGACTGAGTCTCTACTGGTGACGTTCAGCAGCACCTTGTCAGGTTCTGAGACCCTCAACAGCCTGCAGGACCTTTGGTGCTTCCTCCCCATATGTTGGTCGCTGCTCCCAGCATCCACTCTGTCTCTCCGGACTCTCCCGTTCTGGATGTAGCATAAAATGGAATCATATCCTGGTGGCCTTGGTGCCTGACTTTGTTCACTTAGCATCATGTTTCTGAGGTTCACCCACATCGTAGCATAAATCGTACTCCCTTCTTTTCTGTGGCTGAATAACTCTACAGAGAAGTGTAGATCTCACCAGGTGCTGTGTTCAAAGGACCTGTCAGACTGTAGCTAGTTTTTGGTAATCCAGTAGCAGGTCTTCTACACATTCTCAGCATTTACCTACAGCTACAATTTTAACATCTGTACCGTCTCTGTGTGTGTGTTGCCATACTCCAATGCAGAGCCGTGCAGTTCCCGCGCTGTTTAGGGGCTGTTGCCTTCCGTCAAGTGGGAAGAGCAACACTGGAAACCTAGCTCCCCAGCCAGGCACAGAAGCGCACACCTGTAATCCCAGCAGCTCCGGAGGCAGGAGGATCCACAAGTTCAAAGCCAGCCTCAGCAAAAGCAAGGCACTAAGCAACTCAGTGAGACCCTGTCTCTAAATAAAATACAAAATAGGGCAGGGGGTGTGGCTCAGAGTTTAGTGCCCCTGGGTTCAATCCCCTAAACAAAAAGAGAAAAGAAAGAAAGAAACTGAGCTCTCCAGAAGAGGATGGTAATGTAAACTCCCAACTACCGGATCACCAAAAACTAGCTCCAGTTTATAGGTACTGAAGAGAAGTTTGCAGAGAGCAGAGCCAGGTTGACACGGGCCCCTTGACATGGGTCCCCCTGGAGGACAGTCCCCACCTGTTAGAGGATGTAAACAAGTCAAAATAACACCTGGCATTTTGCCAGGGGAATGTTAGAGTTCGTGAACAAGTCTGGATGGTGCCTGGCAAAATGCCAGAGGGAGTGGTTTGAGAAGTAACAAAAGCGAGCCATTAAGTGTGGAGATTCCTGATTGGTTGACTGATGTATCTAGTTTATGTTAATTAGATAAGCTGTGTGGAATGTATAAATACTGCTCCTGTCCTGCAATAAACGGCTCCCACTCCTGCTGTATCAGTCTACAGAAGTTGCTTGTCACCCCCCGGTTATTTTGCTGCAGCCGGACTGCGGCACCCACCTACCCTCATGGCCCTACCCACGCTCACACAGCTGAAGTCCTGTCTAAGGCCCTGCCTCTCTCCTTCCTGGGGAGGCTGGCGTCCGTGCTCTAACTCACCACTTGGTTCAAAACAAGGACAGACAGCCTGAGACAGTTGGTGTTTCCAGAGACATACTAGCTTCCCCCAGAAAAACGCTCCAGGCTGGTGTCCCATTCCCCCGGGGGCTCCTCAGGCTCCCTTCCCAGGATGACCCCAAGAAGGAGCAGAAGGGGGGCTAGAGCAGGCAGCTGGCCGGCCTGAGGGAGGGGCCTGAATCTCCAGGGAGGCAAGGGGTCCCTTTGAAGGAGCAGAAAACCCTCTGCACACCCCCACGGTAAAGCGACCTTTGCATTTATGTAAGTGTGTGACTGAGAACCACAACCTTGGCCCGCCGTGCAAGGGGTGAGGGGGGAGGTCGAGGCAAGTGATTTCTACCTGGTGAAGGGACTGATCCTGAAAGCAAAGTGATCACCTGGAAGGGTTGTGGGAGTGTCCCTCTGTGCACAACTTCTGAATGACAACAGTGAGGCCCGGAGCAAGCCGGGGAACTATGGGGACCTACAGAGGTTAACCTTGGTTGTTGCGCTCTCTCCTGGTTGCACGCGAAGCCAGGCGCACAGCCATCTCTCAATCGCATCCTCTCTTCCAGGGCTGTGCCTGGGCCTTGCAGACCAGGGAGAGAACGGTGAGTGTCCCCCGGTCCCCTGGCGTTCCTGCGCTCCACATTTTCTGGCCTTCTCCTCCAATCCTCCTGATTCCAGATGAAGACGCAGTTAACTCTGAATTCTTTCCAGAGAAACTTCCCAGGCCCTCGCTCTGTGCCTGGCCTAGCTCCGTGGTGGAACTGGGGAGCAGTGTGACTCTGCAGTGCCGGGCTGGTTTCCAGAATGCCACCTTCATGCTGGGGAAGTTGCACGACCCCGGGTTCAAGCAAGAGCAGAGCTCAGCAGAAACCAAGGCTGAGTTCCCCCTGGCCAGCCTGCAGCCTGAGGATGCCGGGGGCTACTTCTGTGCCTACAAGACGGCAGCCACCGGCCAGTGGTCAGAGCAGAGCCAGCGCTTACAGCTAGTGGTCACAGGTGAGGGGGCGGCCTGAGATCACCTCCTTCTGCTGCAGTGGGCTGGGAAGAAGGAATCCAGGAGCCAAGAAAGACCTGGGGGGAGCCGGGGAGGTGGGAGCCGAGTGTGGGGATTCCCGGGGGTCTTCATGATGCGGATGTGGGGGGAGTTTTAGAATATAATCAATTAATTAAGGGTTCAAGGTACAGGGAGGCCATCAGACGAGGAGACACCTGCCTCTGAGACAGCTGGTGACTCAGTGCCTGGGGAGGAGCTCACTGCGCCATAGAGGCTCCATGGCAGGGGAGCCAGGGCTGCTCAGGCCACAGAGGGAGGGAGAACTGCGGGCAAGAGCCACCTTGTATTTCCATGGGAAAGAGTAGGTTGGGACCCGCTCCTTGTCCCGGGGTGCTCCTGGTGGCTTGCACTTGGTCCTGGGTGGTGGGGAGGGGGGCCGTGGTCCTGAGTATGAGAGCCCCGTGGAGCAGGGGGCTGGCGTGTGGCTCTGGATGGGGTGATTGGCACTGGAAAGCCAAAGCCTGACAATGGGATTAACCAGCCCAGCTGTTAAGGGGAGTCCCTTCAAGGCCACCAAGGCCCCAAGGCATGTGGGGCCTCTCAGCCCTGGCTCTTCCCCTCACTCCTCCTCCTCCAGGATCCTGGCCAGCACCTTCCCTCTCAGTCAGTGCAGACCCCGAGGCTGCTCCAGGTCACAGGACGCTGCGATGCCTGACTCCAAACAATGGCTCTGAGTGCCTCATCACCGCTCTGCTGAGAACAGGCACCCCAGACCCCGTGCAAGTCAAGGAGGGGAGAGAAAACCAAACCGACTTCACGCTCCGCGAGTCGAGCGAGGACAGGGGAAGCTACAGCTGTGTGTACTACCAGTGCGACTGGCCACACCTGGGCTCCTCCCGCAGCAGCCGCCTGGAGATGCAGGCGACAGGTGAGGATTCAGGTGATGACGCTGACTTTGGGCACGTGTCCAGCGTTTTCTATGCTCCAGACTCTACAATAAGCAACTTACCTCCATTAGCGTGTTCAGTCGTCTCTCCCTATGAGGGTGGTTTTTGCTTATAGAGATTAGGGGTGACCTCCTAGGTACACAAAGATAATTAGCCTCACAATGCTGTTCAAACATAAGTTTAAAATTAATTCCTATTAATGCCAAAGAAAAGCCAGAAAGAATGACTGGTACACTCTGAGGGACGTAGGGAAGGTGACCAGTGGAATGTGGGGCTCATGGGAGGTGGCTGCATAAGCACCTGAGATCTCAAGGAAGGGGCATAAGGGGTGATTTTTTTTTTTGCATTTTTTCATCCATCCATCCATCCATCCATCCATCTATCCTTCCTTTCCTCCAACTATCCTTCTATCTATCATTCATCTTCACATCATCCATCCATCCACCCATCCATCCTTTCTTCCAACTATCCATCCACCCATCCATCCATTCACCCGGCATCCATCCATCCATTTATTCACTCATCATCCATCCATCCCTCCATCATTTTGTCTACCAATCACTCAACATTCTTCTTCAAGTGACCGAAGTTGCTCCCAGTAGGAGAATCCCTGGGGAACTTCACAATAACCAGCGTGTGTACAAGTAGCCACGTATCCACGTCTGTGGCTTAGCTTGGACTTGGGACTTGAAGACAACATTTGATTTTTGACTACCCCTTTGTAAGGCTCAAGATAATTGGTGCTCCAGCCATGTGTTCCTCACCCTGAAATTAATTTCCTATTTTATCCCTAATAACTTTTTCTTGCAGTCTTAAGAATTTTTTTTTTATCCATACTTTAGACCTAAAGTTGTGGTGCTAGTTTGCCAGGTCCCAGCTGTTTGCTGGCAGATTGTCTATTCTCCCCCGATCCTCTCTTTCTTAGCTGCCTGTTATGCCAACAGACAGGCTATACTACCACTTTTCAGTGATTCAATTATTCAGACCTCCTTCTCCATTCAGAACGTTTGTTGCTTTGCAAACCACTTTCTCGTTATTGCCCCTCACCTGTTACAAAATGAGAACATGAATGCTTCTGTTACAGAAGAAAATAAATTAAAAGTATACAGCACAAAATGGCTGTTCATTTACCCTACAAACCTAGGTACTTTGATATGTAGTATCAGCAGTAACAGACAGATCAGTTCTCTTGGTCAATAGGAGCATACATCATTTTTGGGGGGAGAAAAAAAATAAATAAGAACAAGATATGAAGCTTATGTTTTTAAAAAATGATAGATAAACCAAGTGTGGTGGTGCACACCTGTAATCCCAGCTTCTCAGATAGTAGATAATTACAGGTGTGGTGGTGCAAGCCTGCAATCCCAGCTACTCAGGAGGCTGAGGCAGGAGGAGGCAAGTTCAAGGCCAGCCTGGGCAACTTAGAGAGACTCTGTCTCTAAATGAAAAAATAAAGGGACTGGGGAAGTGACTCAGTGGTAGAGTGCACCTGGGTTCAATGAAAAAAAAAGTTATAGATGGAGAATAAATGATAACTAACTAACCAACTAACTAGCCACAACTCTAGCAGCTTACAACAGCCGTTTATTCATGCCGTGGTGTTGGTGGGTCCGGAGGCCAGGCAGCACCTAGCTGGTTCTCTGCTCGGGGTTTCCCAGGCTGCGGCCCAGGTGTCAGGCAGGGCTGGGCTCTCATCTGGAGGCCTGACTGTGGAAGAGGCTGCTTCTCCTCTCCATTGCTTCTCCAGAGCCCACAGGAGAGAGGCAGAGAGAGAGAGGGGGAGACTTCTCCCCTAGCAAAACAGTCTCCTGTGGACTAATGTCACCACTGGAGGGACATCCCATAACCTTTGCATATCTGTCGTTAGAAGCAAGCCACAGGTCCCCTCACTCAAGGAGAGGGGACAGCACACAGGTGTGCACACAGGAGCTCGGGCTGATGAGGGACCTGGAGTCTGAGCCGCAGGCATGGAGGACAGGAGTGACCCGGCCATGCTGACCTCTGGGGAAGGGCATCCAGGAGGGAGAACAGTAGGAGCGAGTTCCCAGAAGTACCCATGTCTGGGAATGGTCGGGAAGCAGAAAGGAAGATGGAGAGGGGAGAGCAGGGTGAAGGGTGGGGCCCGAGGGGCCTGGAGCAGGAGTATCTGACCCGCTCACAGACTCTGCTCTGAGGCACTGGAAGCCCCGGCTTTAAGGACCTCTGGATCTGGGACGGCAGAGGCTTGGAGGAGCCCAGGAGGGTGCTGGCAGCTGCATCTCAGGCAACGGGACACTTTATTTTAACATATTTAGTTGTCAAGGCGACAATGATTATCACGGTCAGGTTACTGAGCACATCTGTCACTGCACTCAGTCCCCAGAGCTTGTTCATCAGAAACCTTGTGCCCCTCCCACACACGATTCACCTGAAATACACCAGACACAGAAAGACAGACGCTGTGTGAACGGAATCTAAACCAGGCAAGCTCCCACAAACGGAGGAGAGTGATCGTTTCCGGGGCTGGAGGTGGGGGACATTTCAACTTAGTGCCACTGGACGTGGGATGTGGACTCACCCTGACCTGTATTTCAAGATACATATTGGTGCCAGGGATTGAACCAAGAGTGCCTAGCCACTGAGCCACATCCCCAGTCCTTTATATTTTTTTTACTGAGGTAGGGTCTTGCTAGGTTGCTTGGGGCCTCACTAAGTCACCGAGGCTGACTTTGAACTTGCAATCCTCCTGCTTCAGCCCCTGAAGCTACTGGGATTCCAGCTGTGTGTCACTGCCCCAGGCTTCAGATACACATTTGAGATAGAACTTACTGGTTGTGGTGCTGGGCTGGATTCACTGTTGCAGAGATGTCAGAAAGTACGGGGTGGCCCTCGAGAGTTGGCTTTAGAATGTGGGGGTCCATGGTGGTCTCTGCTGAGGTGGGAAGATGGACAAGGAGAGAGACGGAAGGGATGGGATTAGTAATGCCTTTCATAAATGTCACTTATTGAAGATGATTTCCAACTCCGGGAGGATGTGGCATGGTGAGGACGGTCTCTCTTCTGCTTCCCAGAGAGGGCCCAAGCCCCTCTGCAGGATCGAGGACTTAATGCCTCAACATTCCCATACAACTTTGTGATTCCTTTCCTTGCATCCTGTTTCCTAGATGAAACCGATGGACCTGGAGCTCCCTCCACAAAAACAGGTAAGATTGTTAGAAAGGAGGTGACTTCCCAATTAGGTCTGCTTCATGGGACGGGGATCCCCTTTGCTTCAGAGCACAAGAACTAAATGCCCACTTTCTCTGGGTTATTGGGGGAAGCGCTGCCTTCTCTGGGGCAAAGATCTCTGAGGCACTTACAGGTTCTGGAAATGCTGGTGGGTACACAGCACAAGGAGCATCGTCCGCCATGTCACATGGTGATAACTGTGGTGGATCTGGGGACTGTTTGGGGTCGGGGACCTGTGCGTTGCAGTGCTTTGGGAAAATGTGTGATTGAAGACATTTTAAAGCTCTGAAATTCTCAAAACCAGGAGACTATATTATGTTCTTTTTTTCCCCCCCATGAGCAAGTGACTAAGAGTCTGTCCTTAGGGTTTCCCCCCCAAATCAGGGCTGTTGGCAGCAGGAGGCTGGAAGAGCTGGCCCAGACTTTAATGGCCCACTACGTGCTTAAGCAACCTTTCTTTCAGCAACCCATGACCTTCCTGTAATCTGCCCAGTGGCGAAACTGAGAATGGCATCGCGAGAGTCTGTGCTGGTGAAATTTATTTTGGGAAAGGTACCCCCCAGTGTGCTCTTGCGGGATGAGCATCAGTCTTGAATAGGGTTGGATTCCATGTTAACAGACTTGGAAATGATTGCTGCTCCAGCTTTATGGACGCAGTTGATGCCAGGAATGTTTTCTCGAGGAACTCTGAAATCTGAGGGAGCGGAGGAGTGTGGAAGTATCGGAAGCAAGCAGGCCATCTCATGAGACGAGCAGCTTTGAGCTCTTGGATAATTCATTTCCCTTTTTGTTTTATTTTTCCTTCTATTCACTGTCGTAAAGTGCGCCACTCAGTAACATTTTGTGTCTTCACAAGGTGGTAGAACCATCACCACTATCTAATTCCAGAATATTCTCACCACCCCAAAATGAAATCCCCTATCCATTTAGCAGTCCCTCCCTCACCAGGCCCTGCCCATCTGTGATCTGCTTGTCTGTCTGTCTGTTTCTGAGCTCAGCACTGGGGGTTGAACCCAGGGGTGCCGCTGAGCTACATCCCAGTTCCTATTCTTTCATTTTGAGACAGGGTCTTGCTAAGTTGCTAAGGCTGTCCTTGGACATGCCACCCTCCTGCCTCGGCACCCTGAGTCTCTGGAATTCCAGGCGTGTGCCCCTGCCCTGACTTTCTGTTTAATTTTTGGGAATTGCCAAGCCGTTTCCATCATAGCTGTGTGATTTCACGTTCCCACCAGAAACACGGGCAGGTTCTGTTTACCTCCACCTCCTCGTGAACACATGTTTTCCTCTTTAAAAAATTATAGGCATCCTAGGAGGTACAGATATGAATTCTTAAAACATCCTTTCTGAGTTCAAATTTATCTCGGCACAGTTCTAAAAAGAATAAAATACCCTTCTGCAGAGGAATGACGTCCCCACCCTGCATTGTCACCTCAAAGCCTCCAGAAACGGACCCTCACACCAACTTCTAGGTGAAGAGCTTCACTACCTAACTCTGACCCGGGGCCCGGCTTCCCTGTGGGCACCTGAGGCTTTACTCGTACCCCGCTCAGGCCGTGCCCACTGCTCGGTCGGGGGATGCCAATATTGTGGACACTTTGTTGTTTGTTTTGGCCATTTGGAAACAGTGATGTGGAACTTGACCAGGCTGTGTGGACACCGCAGTGTGAAGCCAGGTCAGTGGCTGTGGGGCCATGTGGGGAGGGTGATTTTGCAATGATTTACTTCTCATTTCTTAGGAACTGCGGGTGAAAGAAGCCGTAGTCCAGGAAGTGGGGGGGACGGCCAGGAGGAGGTGAGGCAGCAGACTCTGTGCTTCCACGGACGGTCCCAAAGGTCCCGAACACAGGTTCTCGCCGGCGTCACTGTCCCTGAGATGCGCGACTCAGTGCTGCTCTGGAGGGTTCCTGGGTGAGGGTCATCGAGAGACAGGCCCTTAGGGACACTGGTGGGAGGTGACACAGGGAAAGTGAGATTTTAGGGAGTCAGGACGAGGCCTGGGAGGGAAAGAGGCTCAGCAGGGTGGCCATCTCGCCCTCAGATGGCATCTCTAGTTGTCTTCAGGGAGGTGCTGGAGTCGGGGCGGTCACAGCACAGGGGCAGGGAGCTGGGGTTGACACTCCCACAGCTATGGCCGTTGACCAAGGGAGCCGTGGCTTTCTGGATTGTCCCAGGCAGTCGCCCAGACACAGTCACCCGGCAAGGACAGCTGTGGGGAGGGACAGTCTGCAGTGTGCAGCAATGGTGGGCTGCAGGGGAGCCCGTGGCATCTGTTATGGGGACGAGATGGGGGGACGCAGTCATATGACCTCGTCTTTATCCTGCATGTGGCCGCAGCTTCAGACCAAGTGCTTTAAAGTCCTGATTTCTCGTCACTGCCCACTGCCCTTCTTCTATTTAACCAAACAGTAACCTGCTCTGGGAAGGGAAGGGACACTTACAAAGTCTGCAGTCCCTGCACGACTTCCTGCTCATCAATTAAGAAGAGCCTCCCTGGGCTGAGTGTGGTGGCACACACCGTCATCCCCGCCACTGGGCGGGCTGAGGAAGGAGGGTCAGAAGTTCAAAGCCAACCTGGAAAACATGACTCTCTCGAAATAAAAAGGGCTGGGGATGCAGCTCAGGGGCAGAGAGCCTGCGTCACATGCCCCAGCCTGGGCTCACTCCCCAATGTCACACACACACACACACACACACACACCCCAAGAGGATGCACGAAACATAAGGAGATCCGTTAGCTCCGTGATTGGTAACAGAGGGTTGGCTGACAGAGGTGATAGCTAGGTAATAGATACCAGACAGATGACATAGACTGGAGGCAATTCAACGTGTGACATCTTCGATAAAAAGATTCGAGGAAAGTAGGTAGGTAGAAATATACTTAGAGATGGTGGAGAGGTAACCAGTGGATACCTGTATACCTACATAGAGGACAGAGTAGACCTCAGGAGTAGATGGATTAGACAGATGATTCCACCTATAGACAGTGAGGTGACAGGTGGGGGCGAGTCTGGGGCAGTGACCCTGGGTCAGCACACAGGACAGGAGGTTGTGAAGGCCTCCGACCTGGTTCCACACATGGCCACAGATGGTCCTATATCCGGGAAACGTTGCCAGGCCGGTGCTCACTCATGAAGATGGCGGCAGGCTGCCCCTGTGACTGTGGACTCCGTCTTCAGCTTCTCAGCCTCTGCTTCCCAATCCCACAGGCCTCCCATGTCTGCTTCCTAAACTATTAGGGGCAACAAGGGGCTGGGGCCGGAGTGGGGCCTGCTTTTGCAGAGCTCTGGGAGCGTCCAGCATGGTGGAGCCGCGTGTGTGCCCTGCAGCTGGGAGTGGGGCTGGATTCAGGGGCGCACTGTCACTTCTGGAGACTCAGTGTCTTGTGTGTGGCCTGGGGGGTCTCTCTTGAGCACGGTGCGCGCGGGCATGGGCGGGCTTCTCCACCGTGCGCTCACTCTGCTCCCGACAGGACCTCCTGAGTCCTCTCCTGGAATCACGTCTCCTTCAGGGTCCTGCAGCCTCCACCCTGAACGCCTTTGGTGCCCAGGTCCCCCAGGCCCTGCCCATTCCAAGCCCCACGAGCCCAGGAAAGGGCGTTGAAGTGAGAACTACGGCCATGTCTGTTGTCAGGGCTGCAGAGAGCAGAACCCAGTGTGCCCGGAGACTTATTTCCAGGAATCGCCTCATGGTTTGGGGAACTGGCCAGTCTGGAAGCCATAGGCTGGAGATGGGGACGCTGATGCTGCAGCTTGAGCCAAAGACCCTCGGAGCCACCACCCCTTCCTGCTCGGGGACCTCCATCTTTTCCTCTGAGGCCGTAACTGATGGGCCGAGGCCCACCACATTTTGGTGGGTGATCTGTTCTGTGCAGTCCTGAAATGTCTTAGTTGAAATGTCGATCCCAGCCACAGAAGGCCTCGCAGCAACGTCGGGACTGGCTTTTGGCAGAACAGCTGGGTGCCATGGTCCAGCCAAGCGGACATACAAAATCAACATCGCAATGTCCTCTGTGGCCTTGCAGGATAAGACAAAGACGCCCCCCTTGACACTCTCCGTCTAGAAACCAGTTTCCTACACACCCAGGCTTCTGGCTGTGCCTGATGGCACCAGGATTCTATATGAGACTCAGAAATACTGTGGTCACAAAAGACACCCCCTGGGCCCAATGGGCTTGGCCTGGGCCTGCGGGTTCAGAGTCCAAAGGGAGAGGAGCATCTAGGAAACTAATCGGACCTCGCAGGCTTTCCCGTTTCGTTGTGGTAACAAATGCATGACATAAAACTTACCACTTTTACTATCTTCTACATTTCTTCTCCTAACTACAAACATGTACTCCACATTCTTTTTTTCTAGATGTACGATTTTTTTAATGGTCTAAATTTCATTTTATTTGTCTCTTAAAGGACCATTTGGTCTTTTGCTTTTCTTAAAATACAACCAAGTTACAACTACATGGCACAACTAAAAGGGTAATCTATGATCTGCAAGTTGATTAATTTTTTTAATTATTATATTTATTTATGTATGACAGCAGAATGCATTGCAATTCTTATTACACATATACAGCATTTACAGCGCAATGTTTTTTATATCTCTGGCTGTATACAGAGTATATTCATACCAATTCATGCCTTCAGGTTTTCTGAGGAAACTTCAGACTTTCCAGAGTGGTTGCACCAGTTTACAATCCCACTGGCAATGTATGGGCATGCCTTCCCCCCCCACATCCTCACCAACACTTATTGTTGCTTGTATTCTGGATAATTGCCATTCTGAGTGGAGGGAGCTGGAATCTCAGTGTAGTGTTAATTTGCATTTCTATAATTGCTGGTGATGTTGAACATTTTTTCATATATTTGTTGGTCATTCATATTTCTTCTTCTGTGAGGTGTCTGTTCAGTTCCTTTGCCCATTTATTGATTAGGTTATTTGTGTGTGTGTGTGTGTGTGTGCGCGCGTGCTAAGTTTTTTGAGTTCTTTATATATCCTGGAAATTGATGCTCTATGGGTGCAGGTGGCAAAGATTTTCTCCCATTCTGTAGGCTCTCTCTTCACATTCTTGATTGTTTCCTTTGTTGTGAAGAAGCTTTTTAGTTTGATGCTATCCTGTTTATTAATTTTTTTTTAAATTTTACTTCTTGTGCTTTAAGGGTCTTATTGAAGAATTTGATTCCTAGGCCCACACGATGGAGAGCTGGGCCTACTTTTCTTCCTAGTAGGCACAGGGTCTCTGATCTAACCCTAGGTTCTTGATCCACTTTGGGTTACTCCAGACTCTTAAATCATTCGGTAGGTGTCTTCTGAATTAAGGATTCTGTTTTCAAGGATATCCATTTTGTCACCCTTTGTCACCTTCCTGTAGTCAGATTCCGCTCTTGTCATTCTCTGGGCTTGAATTCTGGCTCCAACCCCATGCGAGGGCTGGTGTCCTGGTTTCCAAGGGCACTTTCTTTCTTCCGCAGGATTTAGAGAGCTGGGTCTCCCTGCTGTTTCTTTCTTTTTCTTTTTAACCTATCACTAATGTTGATTGTTTAACGCAGAATCAAGACTCACACACAACATCAGGGCTTTCCCTTTTCTTCCACTGGCCGTTGGGACGTGGCTCAGGGGTCCCCGCTGCATGGAGGTCCTGTCTTGGGCACCTGGTATTACCGCCCCCCCGCAGCCCGTGCCCCAGAGCAGTGGGGACTAACCGGCCACAGCCAGCCCCAGGGCTCTGCTTCCTGTGTCTGGTTTCTTGTCTGCAGTTCTTTTTTTTTTTCCCCTCTCTCCAGAACCTTCTGACTTCATTGTCAACTCGATGCACGTAAGAAAAGTCAGAAAATACTTGAACTTATGAGCTCTTCTCAGCCAGAAGAGTTAGTGCATCTAGTCCATTGTGTTTCCAGAAATAATAGCAAGCTGCCTCCTCGTGTCGGGGGCTTGGGGAGCGGGGTAAATGAGTGGGTTCAATGTGCCATTTTGAAGGCAGAAAAAATAAAGTGATTCTTGACTCAGGTGCGAGTTGGGACTTTTTGTTCATCAATGATTGTGTCTCGCATTGCAGTAAGTTGGCTAAATGTTCACCCCTTGTGGTTTAGATGGCCCCAAAAGCTCATGTGTGAGACAATGAAAGAGCATTCAGAGGTGAGATGGTCAGATACCAGTGGATTAGTCCACTGATGCAGACTAACTGGGTGGTGACTAGGCAGATGTGAGTGGCTGGAGGAGGTGGGTCACTGGGGCAGTGCCTTTGGGGTTTATATTTTGTCCCAGCTGAATGGAGCTCAGAGACAGAACAATTGCCTATTAGGAGCAAGGCCCTGGTTCCATACCCGGCACCAAAAAATCAATCAGTGAATGGATGGATTAAAAGTTCAAAATGGAGGTAGTAAGTAGTCAGTCTACTTATGTGCTTACCGTGGAGATGAGGAAGACGTACACACAGCAGCTAGTGCAGAGCTGGCTCTCAATCAATGACCAGAACGATCGATCGCAGAGGATGGAATTCCCTGCCAGCAAGGCACGTCCCAGGCCTTTGCATGGGTCCACGTCTCCTCCCCACCATTCAGCAAAGTGGCTGCCACAGCTCCCTCACACTACAGGGAGAAGAGGCGGGAGGGTGGGGGGCGTCCCAGCTGGGGAGCCAGGCCGCCAGGCCCCTGGCTGCTTGTGTCCCAGCAGACTCTGCCCACCCTTCTCTCACCAGACCTCAGAAGCATCCTTGCCGCCACCTTTAGCTGCCTGGCCATCGTCCTCCTCCTCATCTGTGTCTTCCTGGTGGATGGGTGGACACGGCAAGGTGAGCTGGAGGCCATTCTGCCAGGCCGGGGTGGGGACGATGAGAAGGCGCCCTCAGGTGGGAACCCCTCCCTCTGCTCTTTTCAGACGCGTCGGGCGGAGACTCCTCCAAGAGGTAGATGGACACAAGCCCCCGACAAGGCCTGTACCCCACCCCTTTCTTCAGAGACCCCGTTTGCACTTCAGGGATTGGCGTCCAGCCCACCCAAACCCCGCCCCAGCCCTCTGTGTGCCTTTCCCCTGACCTCTCCAAAGCCCGTCTCTCTCCCCCCCAGAAGCAGCCATTCCAAATGTGACAAGCAGGAGACTTCAGGTGAGTGACAAAGAGATGGGTAAAAACCATGGGGAGAAAAACCGAATGCCTGAAAATTGATATTCTCTCTCTCTCTCTCTCTCTCTCCTACAGATTTCGCTCACCTGGAAAATTCACCTGTCCCCGTGAGTGCCCCCCTCAGGAATTCCCAGAAGCTCACTCACTGCCGGTGTGGGTCACGTCTGCCCCCTGGTGTACCCCACTCTCTGATTTATGATGCCCCAACTCACCTAGGTGGCAGGAGGCCGGCCGGCACTGTGTGCACCCCGTGAGCCTGAGTCCAGAGCTGCTGGGCTCCATCCAGGGTGCCCCTGGTCACCACCCACGTGGTCTTAGAGTAATCACGGGCTCCCCAGGGGTTGGGCTTCACTCCGGTCCCCATACCTGGTGGATATTGCACCCTCATTTTAGAAGGCCTGGGGGACCCAGCAGGATCGCAGACGTCAGGTTCGTCAGGGTCTCTGTCCCGGGTCGGCATCCCAGCCTCACAGAACCCACGGTTGGTCTGCTGTGCGTTTTTCTTTTTCTTTTTTTTTCTCCTTTTCTGTTCTGATCTGGTCTATTTGCCATGTTCAAATTCTGGCATCAACTAACAGAGAGTTGGAGGTAGAATTATGTAATGATGCAATATTTCACAGCCAGTGGCTGCAGAGGAGCAGTTCCTCTCCTCGACCCTGGGCCTTTGTGGCAGTCCCTGTGAGCATGGGCAGGACACCCCACCTCCTCGAGCACAGCTCGGAGTGGGCCGTCCAGTTGAACCGGCACCATGTCTGTTCTTCTGCTCTGCCTAATGCAACCAGCACCAGTGCATGTGGCCCCTGAGCATGCAAAATGCAGCCAGTGGCACCGAGGTCCTGAATTTCAATGCAACTTAGATTAATGTGGATTTAAGTAGCCCTCTGTGGCTAGGGACTGCCACATTGGACCACCCGGCTCTACAGACCCTCTGTATCCATCTCCAGGAAGTGACCCATGTTGAGCTGAACGCCGACATACCCTCCGAGGTGGCTTCTGTCCCCGCTGAGGTGCCCCCAGCATCTCGAGAAGGTGCAGAGCTGGAAGTGTAGAAGAGGGGGACGCGCTGGGGGAGGGATTAGGAGCACGGTGGTGATTGGGAATGCGGAAATCCATTTGTCCCTGCGGCCTTGCTCGTAGCCACATCAATAAAAGAAGTTTCTCATCTCAGAAGGATCTGGCTTCTTCATGGATTATCAAGACCAACAACTGGACCCCACTATCTCTGCACACAGTTCTCCCTTGAGCAATTCAAGGAAATAACCAAAAACCACTGACCCACTGTCAGCAAATAATTAGTGATCACCTCCAGGAGAAACCGGGAGAAGAAAAGGGTCAAAGGGATTCAGCTCAGTTCCGTGGCCTGTTTCACCCAATGAGTGGAAGATAGAGAGTTAAACTATGCATATTACTGACAATTATGCAAAGGTAGAATGGATGGGCATGTCACAGATCTAAGGGCTCGGTCATAACTGAATGGTCTTACTTTTTTTTTTTTTTTAATTTGCTTTTGCTTTTCTGAGACAGGCTCTTGCTATGTTGCCCAGGCTGCCCTCTAAGTCCTGGGCCCAAGTGGTCCTCCCACCTCAGCCTCCTGAGAGAATGGTCTTTCCATGTAAACTCAGTATGTTCAATGGAGAGGGAAGACAAGATAATTTAAAGTATATGTAAATGTTCCAATCAGCTTTCGGAGAGTGTCTAAAAGGGGCAGCGAGGCCAGGGACATCTGCCGCACCTTGCTCCATTGGCTCAGGAGATAACAAGAAAAACATGACATTTCTCCTTTGGCTTCCACACCTCTCAAACACTCCTGGATGGGTGTCCCTGAAAAGCAGAGTGTGACATTAGCAGGACCTCGCACATGGGCTCACAGCCACCAGGGGGTCTGTGGTGACACCTCAGGAGGAGAGTCATCTCAGAGGCCATCTTGCCCAACACCTTGGTCAGGTCCCTGGTGACAGGTGCAAGAGCTGGTGATCTGAGTCAGGATTGTTCTTCCAAAGTCGAGCAAGTACCAGTGGCAGACTCAGCTCAGAGCCCTGACCCGCTGACTCCTGCACCAGAGGACAGAAACCGTGGCCCGAGCAGGACCAGAGTGGTGCTGTCAGCTCTGGCCACAGGGCCTCCTCAAGGCCAGGCGGCTGGGCCATCGTAGCTCACGCACAGGTGGCTGCGCTCAGGTGAAACTGGATTTACCAAAATGAGCAAGGGCGTGTTTGCCAGTCCCTGTCCTGGGCCGCGGCTTCTGCCAGTCTGACTTACCAGAGTAGGAACTGGAATGGGCAGAAACACGGGCTCAGCGCACAGGGAACTCTGCCTCCTCATTCTCCATTTTCAGAATGAACGATCCTGCAGGATGGGAGAGCACCCAGTCCTCCCGCCTTGGACAGCCTCCTGCGCAGGGTGTAGGTCTCCTAAGAGGGCCCGGCCAGCATCTCCCTGGAGAAAGGCCCCGCTGGCCCAGGGGCCTGGGAGGCTCCTGTTTTCCGGGAAGCTTGCGGCTTGTGTCTCAGAGTAAGGAGCCGAGCTCAGGGAAGGGTCAAAGGAGCCTGGAAGAAGAGGACCCTGGAGGCACAGCCACCGCGCAGGCTGTGGTCTGCCCTGGCAAAGCTCGTGTTGAAATTCAATTACGAATGTGGGGGTCTGGAGCGTGTGGGCCCCCAAGTGGTGTTTGGATCACGGGGCTCTACCTCCCTGAGCAGATCAGCACAGAGTGGGTGAGCCACTGTGACAGTGAGTGGCCATGTGTGTGTCCCCTTCATCCCACCTCTCTCCCACATGGGCCCACTCACAGTCACACATACCCGCCTCCCACAGGATGCTGTCCACCATGTTACCATGCAGCACGAGGCCCTCGCCAAGGGGGACACCGGATCTTGAACCCCCAGCCTCCAGAACAGGAGCTAAATAAACCTCTTTTCTTTATAAATTACCTAGGCTCAAGTGCTCTATTAGAGGAATAAAAAACTGACTGAGACAATGAATATGTGTACACGTGTGCGTGCACTGTGGGCCACACTGAGGGTTGGGAGTTTGGGGGAACAAGGACATTCAGCGTGTGGACATGCCCAGTGAGAGCCACTCAGAACCCTGACACATGGCATACACACCAACACACACTGTGGTAGGCTGAGTCCGTCTGCTGAGTCCTGGCCCCTAGAACCTCAGGTAGGGCCTGTTTGGAGATGGGGCCATACTGGAGTGGGGGGCTCCTCATCCCACAGGCCTAGTGTCCCTATGCAAAGGGGGAGTTTGGATGCAGAGACGTGCACGTGGGGAGCAGAAGTAGAGGGGTCTGCCTGAAAGCCAGCCAAGCTCACCATTGAGCCCCGGAACGGAGCAGGCCTGGAGCAGACTCTCCCCCAGGGCCCTGAAGGAGCCAGCCCTGCGACAGCTGGTCTCAGGGTTCTGGCTTCCAGAACCAGGAGACGATGAGCTTCTGCTTCAGCTGCTAGAGCGCTGGACCTCGTCACGGTGGCACGAGTGACACTGTGTTCTACATGAGGTGGCTGCACACCCAGTGCAGACGGCTGCACTCCCGGGACAGCAGCACCCCGGCTGAGCCAAGCTGCCCCACACTCGCACGGACACAAGCACACGTGCACACGCAGACGCGGCAGCACACACATCCTGCGCCCCACGGTCCCTGAAGTCGGGGCCCTAGTGTTTCCAGGACACGGCGCCCAGGATGCACCCCCTAGGCCTCCCCAGGAGAGAGCTTGGCCCTTCCCCTGCTGGAGCAAAGCTCCTGGGACTGGGTGGCTAGTGACAACTGACTCTTGTGCACAGCCTGGAAACCAACGTCTGAGAAGGAGGCGGCAGGCTCAGGTCTGGGGAGGCCGCTTCTGCCTCCCAGATGGTGGCTTCTCCCCGCATCCTCACGGGTAGAGGATGAGGGAGCCCTGGGGCCTCTTCACAAGGACACGATCCCATCAGCTCCCAAAGGCCACACTTCCTCACGCTGTCACAGCGGGCTGAGGTCCACCACATGGATTTGGGGACACACACTGGGTCCACAGCACCCACGCAGCTGGTCCTGCCGCTGCGCTCCAGGAAGTCAGGGCCTGAAGGGCATCCTCACCCTCAGCCCAGCTGACAAAGAGCCCAAGTCCCACGGGAACAGCAGGGCCGGGGAGGAGTGTTCCCTGCTCCTCTCATCGCACATGGTCCTGGACTTTAAAACGGGGAGCCCTCGGTGGCCATCTGTCCCGCCATGTGGAGGAAGCCGCTCTTGGTGACTCAGAGAACACGGGAAAGAGGCGGGAGAGACGGTGCCTTCAACTTGGCTCCCCTGTTCTGACGGCTTCCAAAGTCGGCATCCTCCCTTCAGCTTCCTCCTCTGCGGCTCTCTGGGGGGAAGGAAGTCCTCCCGTCCTGGTGGCGGAGCCGCACTCGTCCCGCGTGGGAGGAGGCACTTCCAAGCTGGGCCTGGAATGGCCTCCTTCCTGCAGCGCACCCTCTGGGCTCCTGTGTTCCCGCCTGCCTAGAGGCAAGCCCGCGCCATCCCTGGGTGGTGAATCTGCAGCGGATCATCCGTCCTGGGGCCCTTTGTGTGCAATCCTGGGCTGAGCACTGACAGGGAAGTGGGGGCCAACCAACCCTGCTGCAGGTGCCCACACCGTGTGCTCCCTGGTCAACCTCCCCTCTTGCCCACCAGCCCGGGCCTCCTCTGACACCAGTCTCCAGGGTTGGATCAGGCTCCTTAGTCCACTCGAGCTGCCACCATAAAGCACCACAGACTGGGTGGCTTGTAAACCACAGAAGTGCATTTTGCACTGTGCTGGAGGCTGGGAGTCTGAGACCAGGGTGTCAGTGAGGCTGGGTTCTGGCCAGGGCCTCTCAGGGGGCAGACGGCCAACTCCCTGTGTCCTCACAAGGTGGAAGGGGCCAGGGGGCCCCCGGCACTAATCCCACTCCTGAGGGCCCCACCCTCACGACCCACCTCTTCTTATCCTCATATCAGGGGTTACGGTATCAATATGTGAGCTGCAGCACGGGGACACAGGAAACCCAGGCCCAGGATTTGAAGCCCGGTAAATTGAGGACGTGGAAAAAAACTTGGAGGTGTTTTTGTGAATGACTTTATTGGACCCACTTTATTGGGTCATTTAGCAGCAGGACTCAAAGACACACAGGAATGTGTGTGCACAGGGGCGGGCGTGAGAGGACGTGGTGAGGGGACTGTGTGTGCACGGGGGCGGGCGTGAGAGGACATGGTGAGGATGGCCCACTGCAAGCCCTGGAGACAGGGACCCAGGACAGGAACCGGGGAGAGCAGTGGGTCTGTCTTCAGCCCTGGGCACAGACCTCCAGGGCTCCGTGCACCTCCTCGCGGTGGACAGGAAGGTCTCTGAGGGTCCTGCCAGTGGTGTGACCACTACCTCCCTCTTCCCAGGGCTGGTGTAGTGTGAACAGGTATCTCAGGATGCGGGATGTTCTGTTTTTCAACAGGGATGAGGGAGAGACCCGAGAGGGTGCAAAGGCGAAGTCCGCGCTGCAATGGCCCCACCAACCCAGGAACCCTGCTTTCCTCGTCTTCCTTTTTATGTTGACATTTAACACATTTTATTATAGACTGAACTTATATGCATATTAAAATTAAAGCATTGCAGTGCTTTTTTTATGCAAGCCCTTTCGTAGGCATTTTAAGTGAAGTCAGGGAATCAGTCAGTGCTGTTAAACAGCTCGTCTGACTGGAAGCAGGAAACCATTTATCTTTTTTTTTTTTAACGGGATAGGGGGAGAGAGAGAGAGAGAGAATCTTTTTTGTAGATGGACACAACACAATGCCTTTATTTTTATGTGGTGCTGAGAACTGAACCTGGGTCCCACCAGCGCTCTACCGCTGAGCCACGATCCCGCCCAAAACCATTTATCTTGCAAATCAGCAAACACCTGCTTTCTTCCCCCGGTGGCCACCTCTCGGTGGGATCACTTTCCCGAGGCCTTGGGTGACCTGGAGGTAAGACTCATGAGGCTTATGGTCATCTTAAGGTCATAAGGACTTCTGGTCTCAGCGTTTTTCCTTTTCTGTTATGTCCTCTCCTTTTCTTGGTCGGCTCAATCACTGGATTGCTCTTGGAGGCTGACGGCGCGGCCGGGTGAGCATGGTCAGCCAGCTCTTGCTTCCCACCTGCAGCATCTGCTCCTCTCCCACGGGCTCACAAGGCTGC